CAACCGGCGAAGAACTTACTAAGAATGTTAAAGGAATGGCGACGATTGCTGAAGAAGAGACAGGTAACCCAAAAACATTATACTTTTGTCAAGAGATTCATTCATGTACAAACGCTTGGGTCTCTCAACATTCTGCATTGTTATCTACATGTACTTGTTTGTGTAAACGTTAGATTTATTCTACTTGCTCCTTAGATGACCAAAACCGTTTTGTGAGGGAACAGCGCAGAAAAGGAGCACCCAAACTAGACAAGGAAATCGTCCTCCAAGCCGGCGAGTACCGAACACGACGTTCCAAAGTCAGCCAGACCCTGCAGGAGATCGTGTCCTACCTGGTTTTTCTCGTCTTCCTCCTTTGCGTGGCCAACATCGGGGTCACCAACCTGCCGTACTACCTGCATCGTTCGATGGACTTGACGTTCAATAGCAATTTCTTCAAGGTATATCTTGTTGCTACGTCTACCGGTACCCACTCTCACTCACTCTCTCTGTCAGGTTTACTAGGAGCCTCTCTATCATAGTATGGCTGTATAAAGACCTGTGACTACCTGTAGCCCTTCGATACGTGAACGCAGGTGTTTCAGGCATAAGCCTCAATCACCAAAAACTCTGCACGTAAGGGGGGAGAGCAGTGTGACCCGGTGTGCTTGGCTATAGACACGAGCTATAGCAAAGTCGCATTTTCCTAGTCTGTGTTTGAAAAAGCTTCATGCTTCCCCTTAGTTGATGATGACTGCTTTACCGTTCATCATCTTGACTTACATCGCGATCGACAGTATCAAACCACGGCAATTCTATTGAGGTTTGGATCTTCTGTTGCATCTCTAATAAAAGTAGCCAGATAAACGGTTAGGGATAATATGAGACGTCGATGAAGGTTAGACATCCAGGTAATAAGATACGCCAAAAAGCAAGTACTCAAGCAGCTGGATATGATTTTGTGACCGTTTCCAAAATCATATCCAGTTGCTTGAGTAACTGCTTTTTGGCGTATAATATGAGACCTTCTTTCCTTGCGACTTCTGTTGGTTGACAGAACATCACAAAGAACGGCACGAAGGAGAATCTGCGGCTATGGTTAGAGAAGACGGTGGTGACGGAGCTGTTCCCGTTGGAAAGGCGAGCGCGGCGCAGTGTGGACACAACCGGCTCGCCCATGATATCCAACCTGCCTCTCTTCAGGCTTACTGAACCAAGGCTGCGGCAGCAGAGGGTGCTGGACAACGGTAAATACGTCTCTTTATAGTTGTTTTGTACTAGTCTCAAAGCAGACGTAGGGAGGGAGATAATCAATTGTCGGATTGGCCAGCTCCCCTGGCAGACCATCAATGGCATGGCTGTCAGAAAAATCATCAACTCAGAGACTGCCTGTCGACGCAACAACTGCTGGAGACCATTTAGTAACCCAAGCAGGTCGAATATTTTGGCTATTGCCGGTATCACTGCATTAATGAACCAAATCTCCAAACATGTCGTTGTCTTCAGATCACCAATGATTGATCTAATCATGAATGTTGCTCGGCTCTATCGTCCAGCGAGTTGCCATCTTATTAACCCTATATTGCTTTCAATTGTAGGCGACTGGATGGAGGAGGACAGTTTTCCCGAATGGAAATCTTCCGGACAAAACAACGTGAGCGTTCCCGGCCATCTGCTGTCTAGCTGGAACTTTACTGCAGCACTAGGGTACAACATGTTTCCCTACGTGGCGACACTCCAATCCTTCTACGACGGTGGCTTCATCACACAGCTCGGCAAATCCAGACACTCTGCAATGGGAGCTATCGCGTACCTCTACTCCAACAACTGGATTGACCGGAACACTCGGGTGGTGTTCCTAGAATTCAGCCTGTACAGCGCCGACGCAAACCTCGTCTGCACGACAACCTATCTCTTCGAGTTCACGTCTATCGGAGCAGCCCTCCCCAAATCGTGGATTTCTGTCTTCAGGCTCCATGATTATGTTGGACCACAGGGAATTCTGATGGGTTTCCTGCAGGTGATCTTTGTGTTCTTGGTCTTTCATCTAACCTGGCGGCAAGCGAAGGAGATGTTACGAAGTGGCCTGGCGTATGGGAGGGAGATGTGGAACTGGGTTGAGGTGGTGAACTTGACGTTTTGCTGGATGGTGATTTTTGTCGGCGTGACGAAAATTGTGATCGTTTCAAAGACGAGAATTCCTGACTTGCAGGATGAGAGTGGTAAGTATTGCTTTTTGGCAGGAACGTGACTGTATTCAACTCAAGATCATTGTTCAAGACCCTTGCTAATTGATCAGATTGTTTTCAATATATTGAATATTTGTTGCATTTATGTAATTTCGCCAGTTCTCATATTTCATGCCTTTGTTTTGCAGCTTCACACTGCTTATAAACAAATAGATTATAACGTTAGTCACCTCTGTTTGGGTAAACTCCCCCAGTTCGATGAAAAGGAACTGTATGTCTACCAAGTTGAAGATACATCTCTGTCCTTTGCCGATTTGCAGAAGCCACTCATGAGAGGCTAGTTCAGCTTGCCTTCATCTCAGCCCTGTTTACCTGGACCATGGCGGCCGTGGTTTTCGTCAACACCGTGAAGTTTCTGAAGCTGTTGCGGTTCAACAAGATCATCTCCTCGCTGTCGCGATGCCTGCGCGCGTTGTACAACCCTCTGGTCAACTTCCTGGCCGTCTTCTTCGTAGCTTTCGTCGCTTTTGCGTTCTTCGGGTGGCTGGCGTTCGGTCGAGGGTATGTAACGGTTATGACTTGTGTAATTATACTAGTAGTAATATGTAAGTGATCATATGGAGAAACATGTTATGTAGAGGTATACTAGTACATATATTAGCGCGTTAGGTATGCCCTGATTGGTTAGTGAGAGTAACCAATCAGGTACGTGAAGGACTATTGCTAGCATAGTTGAGCTTGGGAGTGACAATTGCTCTGTTAGTCAGTGGGTGACCAAGGACTCAGGTACGTATACATGTGTAGTTGTAGCTCTGTAGATTAGTGTTGTATAACTGTTAGTACCTCATCTGTGTGACTTCCTAGACCATCGGTGACTCTCTGTGTTACTAAGTGCTAAACTCCCTGTGAACTATTAGACCATATACCATATATATTACAGGTACAAGGACTACCGCTCTGCAGTGATGGCCCTCACTCACACCTTCATGATCTCGATCGGGAAGGTCTCGTCGTTCATCCCCATCACCAGAACCAACGAGTTCGCGAAGCTCTACTTTTTCGCGTTCATCATTGTGATGATCTACCTGATGATGAACCTACTAATATCGGTAATTAACTTTTTTTGCACATTTATATCACATTTGCTAAGTTTGTTGCACATTTATGCCACATTTGGCTAGGTTTGTTGCACATTTATGCCACATTTGGCTAAGTTTGTTGCACACTTATGCCACATTTGGCTAAGTACAGATCACAACAAAACAAGATGAACGGATGCAGTTAACAGATACAAAAGAAACTAACTATCGTTATATATATTCAACTTCTCCTCGATTTTCAGTTATTGTAGAAGTAAAACATATATTTTTCGATGGATGGTTTGTCTAGTTGCATTAGGAATATAAATTTTTCTACAATGCTTAAGTGTATGAAATAGGAAAATAGGTTTGTACATACCTATACAGTTTATTTCTCTCTTTGCTATACAGTCCACATTCTATTACAAAATGGCGTTCGTCCTCTATTCTATTCTTCTACATACTATTGACACATTTGATGCCAGACGCAGAAAAGTATGCCACTCCTTTGTTGATAACAAAGCCGAAAACAGCATAATACAATGTCTTCTGATGTCAGATTGTCAGTATAGAAATTCTTTTTTTATGTATATAATATGTTGTATGTATAGTTTGTGTTTCTATGTTTGTACCGTTGTTACCTATGGGTGAAATACCTGAAATAGAGACATTCATCATCTATTCAACAGGTGATTAACGAAGCCCTGGCGATCCGGGGGGAGGCACAGCTGACGCCGGACCAGAAGGCCATCGCGGACGGGATGAGAGAGATGGTTCTGCGCGTCGCCGGCAAGAGACAACAGGCTCGTGTTCCAGGTAAGAATTGGCAATTGTTTCGTAGCACCACCATGTCATGCCAAGACCTACATGTACATGGATTGGCAGATAAACAGATAGATATAATCTCCAGCCAGATGGATGGCGGCAAAAGTGTTACGGTTAGAACTGGCCATCTAAAGAGAGAGAGAGTCCTTAGGCGCCCCGGTGACTAATGGACACTCATCTATAGCTAGCCAATGGATACTGTCTTGCCACCGTAAAATCGAGCTGATAGAAGGCAGATAGACATAGTAAACGATCATGTAGTTTCCTGATAGTAATTCATACTGCAAATACAACTAGTACAGCAAGTCATTACCGTCAAAATCTGGTTCAAATGTTATTGAATGTCTATCCTTTCTGACCGCGTCCTATGTTTTTTTTTTTTTTTGATACAGATCTTTACGCATCCAAGTCGCCTGCGGACGAACTTGAGCACCTTCTCGGCGAAGTGGAGACCAGAGTCCGTGACATCAACGTCGAGTGGAGAGAGATGGACACCGAAGTCCTGCAGCGACTTCCGGAGTTATCTATCAACTCTCAAGACGCTCCGGCCTGTCAAAACTTTAAGGACCTGTTGTAGTTATCCCTGCCTTCTCTCTCAAAACAGTAACCTCAGAACAAACTTGTAAATACTCTGAATGCACTATTTGTATTACAAGTTGAAAACAATCAAGAAAAGAAAACTAGTGAAGCAACAAAAACAGTAATTGGCAGTGACACGTATGTACTAAATCCCTTGTATAATCAATGTAGCCTGACAATTAGACCTTAACTAGACCCGTTATTCTCGCTCTCGTTAAGTACTGGTTGCTATCTATCACAGAACGACCAGAGTGCTAGTAAAGCTGATCCATGAAAAGAAACCTTTTTTCGGGCGTAGTTCGTCGCTTCATGTTTATTACACGATTTCTCTTGCGTTAATTAAATGACTAGGCTATACAGTAGTCTCAGGAAAACCTTTATGGGGCGTCCTCTTTATTCCAACACTTGACGTTGTATTTGAAATACTGGTAGTTGACCATGAACTTTAGGTATTCTCCCCCGGGTTCGCGAAATTTGATGTACTTGTCATTGGTCGTCTGGTCGTGGCCGATTTGTGCGAAGGTACAAGCGGCCGACCTGAGCTTGCCGAGCCCCTCGAAGAAAAACTCTGGTAACGAAAAAAAAGGAAGTTACAATATCAAAAGTACAAAACCTGAAAAGCTCTTAGTATTGTATTTAAGCCTTAAGACAAAATGACGTATTTTAAGCTAAAGCGTACTCTTTAAACCAATAGACTTAACTTAGCTGTTTACTTTTAAGTCTTTGCATTATTGAATAGCCTTTATAATGATTATTTGCACAGCAGAAGCAGTACTTGATTATTGTGTCATAATCTTTTTCCCTACTGCCAGTTGGCAACCGCCTTCAAATCTATGAAGATTTGTTGCCTTTATAGTCTACTGCGAGCGAGGCGAATGAGAGGGCATGTTTGTCTTGAATATTGGTTGCTCAGTGTGCGGGGAAGGGGGGGGGGGCGTCGCTGCAAGCAATTGCTATGGACTGCAAAGTGAGGTACAAACAGCCTGCGACAGTTCTACATCTCTACCATGCGCTGGCAAAGGCAAAGCTTTTAGACAACAGTGTGTGTGGGAGGGGGGCGCTGCAAGGGACTGCTATGGACTGCAGGGTTCTAACAGCGCGGTGGTGAGAATACTAAAACTCTACCATGCGCTGGCGAAGGCAAAGATTTGTGTGCGTGGGACGGGGGTGCTGCATTGCTGTATGCACTGGCGAAGGCAAAGATTTCGTTGTTTGTCGCGGGGGGTCTTAACCTTCATGCTTTTCTATAGAAAACGAAACGTATCATTACAAAAGAATATCCTTACCTGTATGAGCAAACCGTGAGAAGGCCGGATCGAACCCGACCTCTCTGACCTTGTCCGTTCGACCCAGGAAGAAGTTGGTGACCCTGTCCACCCTGTGGCATTCTGGGAAGTCTTTCAAGGTCCCGTATGTGCCGTAGGTCTGGACAAGACAGTCGCCTTCCTCGTCTCCCTCCAGGATGTTGAGTTTGAACGTGCTCACAACGACGTCGCCTACCAAGCCAGATACCTGAGGGAAAAAGATATTATTAAGTTTCACATCCCATGTCAAACTGTTCACTAATGGGGTGGTACATCTGGTTAAAAGTTATATAGTTATCTTTTAAGGCAGAATTTGTATTTTCTAACGATTGTCATGTATAGGTAAGACTTTTATGCGACGTGTAATTCCTTGAATGGAATGATTGTAAATGTTTGTTTCTGTACCTGTATGTAATTGGTGTAGGAGCCCTGGAAGATTAGGCCCTTAATGGGCTGAAAGGCATCTCAATAAACTGAAGTTTCATTATGATTATTTGCTTACAATCTTACTATTACAATCTATCAAGAAAAGGAAAAAGACGCAATGACAATATTTGTAGTCTCAAACATTTTTGGCCCCTGACATTAGAAACATCTTCGCTGGTCTGCAACGACATTTAGCAGGTTGTACATGTACTGCAGTTCGTTAGAAGAAACGATTGTAACGTTATGGTCTATAAACTACCAGTCATGCAATCCTATTTTGTTCAATATATCTACAGACTATTGATTGTCCTCGTGCTGAAACAGATAAACTATCAAAGTTTTTCTGTGGAGAAAAAGCCCATTATCAATGTTGATATGATATGAAAAAGCTTATTCGACTTACTATGTCAATGTCAGCATTGTCCAGAACATCGGCGAGTTTTTCTAGCTTGGTTTTCGGAGTGAAGAAGAAGTCGTCATCCACCCAGAGTAGGTAGGGAGTTTTCACCTGTGACACCGCCAGGTTCCGGCCAGCAAACCAGCCCTGGGTGCAAAGGGCCGCCATGTTGTGTATACGTTCAGTGATGTTACAAGAGTAAAAGTAGCATCCTCTTTGTAGCAAAATTACCACAAACGCTACTATGTTCTATGCAGATGTGCGGTCTGATCCGTGAAACCCCTGAAGTTGTGTTTAAATCTTGTAAAATATTGCAATATAAAACTTGCTGAGATAAAAACTTTAAACCCTAGCGTGTGTTTCTCCTAAACACTAAACCCCTTAGCGTTGCAAGACAGCAAATTTCCAGAAAAGTATCAGAATTAAAAAAAAATTCTTACGGCGCCGAAAGGCATGACGTAATGGTCAACGTTGTCTCCTTGGAGATCCTCCACAGGACGGCTGTCGTCTGCCACGACAATCCGGATGGTCGGGTAGCACTTCCGGACACTCCGGATCAGGTTCCGGACTGACTCGTACCTCAGGAAGGTCTTGGTGACGACCGTCACCTTCCGGTCGATACTGTCGTCTGCAGTGCCGTTACCATGGAGACAAGGGTCAAATCATAATGTCGTGGATCAGGGTATGCATGTGAATCTATCATGATTGATAGTGTTTTGACTTTATTATTCCAGGAGTCCGTACAACACAACATAATCAAATAAGATATAAATAACAAAAACTTGCATATGAAAAAGTATACAAAATGCTAAGGTGAATTCACAATTGATAGAGGTCAAAGGTCACCAAAAACAAAATAGTTTAATCATAATTCGAGTGTTGTACGTATACAAAAAAGGTACCAAGTGTACGTAGACAACAAAGGTACCAAGAAAATCGATTGATTGATTGTTTGATCGGTTGATTGATTGATTGATTGATTGATTGATTGATTGATTGGATGCTTTGAATGATATTTGAATGGTTACCATAGCAACTCGAACCTTACCGGATCCGGGGTCGTACAGGAGCGTGACAGGCCGGAAGTTGATCCGGACAGGGATGGTGACGTCATACTCCATGTATCGGAGCTTCACTTTTGTGGGAGATTTACAAGAAGATATCAATAATCAAAATCTAAACTGTATAAAGTTAATTATATAACCTTCACAGAAATTTTAGTTTGGAATAAACAGCTCGTAATAATTTATGACTTTGCTACAAATAATAAATGAGCTTCACACAAGGATCTTGATATAACGTCCTTGACATTATCTAAATGTACATTGGCCTACTTTCAACTTTAAGAAATCGATTCAGAGTATCTTGAGAACTCGTGATACCCTACCACTCGTAGTCCTGTGTGTTATAAGATCCTTGACCTACTACTTCTGTCCAAGGAGGTTTAACCTCCTTCTTCTGTCTATACTATTTGAGCAGGTGGATATGTATCGATTTGAAAAGGTGCCGTTTTGTATACCTGAAGATTATTTACGTATACAAATCCCACCACAAGATAGGAAGTAGAGGAAATCGTCTCACGGCTTACCCAAATCCAGCCTTCCTAGTTCGGGCTCTATGTTGATGTAGATCAGAAAGTCCAGCTGACGGTTCAGATGAACCAGAGACGAGCTCTCCATCGCTAGAGAGTGGGTCCGACGTCCGCCGATTTCAACTTCGGGAACTTCCGCGGCGATGTCCAGCATTCCGAACTCTGCCGAAAACTCCACCTGCGAACAGAAGACTCCTTGTTTTAAAAAAGAATCTAGTGGTTGATGATGACTTTGTGGCTACTTGTTGATAATAGTGTTTTAAAGATGCTTGCAAACATACTTATGTGAGTTTGTTTCGTTGGTTTACATTTTGTAGTTAAACAGGCCCGCCATGTTCACTGTACTTCTGTATACATGTGGTCACTTGAAAAATACAAACACATAATATTTGTTAGTTTTTGCTCCTCGTGTTTGTACCTTTGTACGCGAAAACATGTATATGATTTCAGCATGAAAATGATCGAGAAAACTTCACCTTATAGTGCTGTCTGCCAACGTTGTCGTCCACGGAAATACCTGCAACATAAACGACAAAGTTTATGGGACCATCATCAACAAATCTTCAATCGATATTGAACAAATCACTAGCTAGTGAAGGCATTAAAAACTTGACGGTCCTGACATGCCACCGATCTTGTGCCCTTGGGAAAAGCACTTAACACGGCTTTCCTCACTTCGCTCAGGTGAAAATGAGTACTAGTATTGTATTGTCCCCTGTGTTGGTGGGGACATTAATATAAGTTGAACAAACTTGAGTGTGCCGTCACCACGTCTGGTGATTACATGTTTGAATATAGAAAAAAATATAGTAAAACCTACCCGGTATGCCGATAGCTTCCCCCGGCACGACCTGTAGTCCCATCGAGGGATAACTCAGCGGACAGGAGCCGCTCACCAATAGCAGGGGGTCAGACTGCAGGGATACTCTGGTGGGGGTTCAGGTTCATTAGTCTGCAAATTCCCTAGTCAGGATATCACGCAGGTGGGAGTAGGGTGGGGAAGAGGTACGTGTGTACAATAGCAACATTGCATCGCTCAGATTTGTTTGTTGTTTCCTTTTGAAAACGTCAGCCCCCAAAAAACATGAATTAAAGATAAAGCGTGTCACAATAAGCATTGCTATTAGTTCCACACTTGTAAAATGTCCTTGGTTTCACTATTAGTGTTACTACTAGTGAAATGCTGCTAAAAATATTGAAGAGACATTGCAGAGATAGACGTGATATAGTATACTATAGTTAGTATTTGTTTCTCCCACCGTTACACTTCATTCAAACCGCATTTGGCACATGTATAGGGCTTGAATATGCAATAAAGTTCATTGCAATTGTCACTAACAGTATCCATGTACATACGTACTCTCTATGACGATGCTCCGTGCAAAAGGCAACTTACCTGTCGCGAAATTTTTCGAGTTGTTTCTTCCTACGTTTCTTTACTACCTCCCTCTCGGCGCTGGTCATGCGCTTGGTGAAGTTAAGCGAGCCTTTTTCGCAGACGCACGGAACTCGGTTTAGCAACCTATTGAGAAAAAAAACAGTCGTTTTGTTTGTTTCGCATAACCGATAAACCGTCTTTTCTGTATTTCTTCTTTACTTCGATGACCTTTGGCCCATAAGGCTAATCTTCCAGGGCTCAAACACAAATGAAAACACATATACAACAGCATGAAAGTTCATCTGAGTTGGTAAATTACATTATGAAAAACTTAAACTTTTCTCCAACTCAAAATTTCTAGTGAGTCAAATTTTGAGTTTTGAGTTTTTCATAACATATACAACAGATAACGTTTAGGCGTACCACACCAGTTTTCACAGCAACAAACCAAGACAAAAAAAGTGAACAACCGACCTCGCTGTTTCATTGATCCAGGTAAAAGGGATGTCAGCTTTAGTCAGTTGTTTTTTCCATCGCGACTCTCCCAAGAGTCTTGCATCAATGTCGGGCACCAGTAGGAACACCACACAACAAAACACGACAACTCCCAGACAAAGGCACGACACTTTCAACACCGTTCGTTTAGTCCTTAGAGTTAGAAAATCCTGTGCATGCATCTTTAACGAACTAGTCAGACTGACTATCTCTCGTCTTAACGGAAGAGGGACTTGCATCCGGGTTTAAATATACACTTGTGCGCTTTATTTGCTTGTCAGTGTCCCTTTAACTGTGTCTGCAGCTTGCCTCGAGTTTCACAGAACGAGAAAGAAACAAAGAAAGCTCAAGATAAGGCGAGTAGGAATCTGACAGGTTAAAGACCGAGAGGGCTTTAACCTGTCAGATTTCTTCGATTGACCAACTCCTCTAACTGGGTTGTACGCACCACCCTTTCTTCCCCTGTCACAGTAAGTGCATCCTATTTGCGCAGTTGTGGATAGCCTCCGTAGCAGGCTTATGGAACTGGGGGTTTGGTGGTCTTCGGCCTTTTTCTGATTAGCCCAGTTCTAAAAAAACGGGGATAATTCAACCAGGCCGGCTATGCTGTCTATATGCAATCAGAAAATAGCGCATAAAAGCTCCCAAAGACCCTGAAGACCCCCATCTCCACCCCCTCCCAGTTTTTGGCATGCTATGGAGACTACTTTAACCTGTCAGATTCCTTCGATTGACCAACTTCTCTAACTGGGTTATACGCACCACCCTTTCTTCCCCTGTCACAGTATAAGTGCATCCTATTTGCGCAGTTGTGGATGCACGTCTCGAGGAGTTTGTCTGTAAGTGGTTTTCCGTTCCTTGAATGAAGCAAAGGGTCCTCTCAAGTATCCTATACCTCCGAAGAGGACTTTCTTTTCTAACCTTTTTCTCAGAAATTACGACATAGTCTTGGTGGGATGAATTATCCTAATAGGCCGCGTGCAATTATATTTTATAAAACTAGACTTCTTCCGTGCGTTTCAGAAGAAAGTGTAGTTGAGAATTCGGGGACAGCAGTGATGTAGCAACGATAGTTGGGCTAAAGTCCGATGATCCTTACACCGAGCTCTTTACACAGTGACGTTCTATCTACCATCGCTAGATGTCGCTGTTAAAAAAGTTTAGTAGTACGTAAACTGGACTTTCCACGGCCATGTTCTTTCACATATTGCAAGGGTGTAAAAAGAACGGGGATGGATGATCATCAAAATAGTAGATAGATATCAACGGTTTTGAGCCCCCACTCTAAATGATGCCATTGAAATTGATGAAATCTAAAGCAATTTAGCGTAATATAAAATTTTCCATAGTACAACCATTGTAAAAAAATCTACATGATATGATGTTGCCATTATTATGTCTTTATTATGTTGTTTGAATATGCACCGAAAATGTCCCTGGTGCATTACTTTGCCCTCTCTCGATTTCAAAGACACCCAGTTGACACTTGATGTTTTAGTTATAAAATAAATGAATACCTTTATTGTACATTTTTGCCTAACTGTGCTAAGCACAAGTCACAAGATTACAATCATCTACATCTACATATACAAATACATTAAATAGAACTGTTACATGTATATATAAACGTCTAATGTATTGTAGTATTTTCAACTTCCTCTCGCTTCTTGGTAATTGAATAATTGTATGAGGATGTATGAGAAGTTAGATTTGGTTTATCAAAGGTTAACAGGAATATATATTTTTGTTCTTGTCAGGTATCTAAAGTGGGGAAATTTACTTAAAACATGACCGAAAAGTATGTGTCTATTTCTGTCATATAAAGGACAATCTACGGTTTTAGTAACGCTCTTGGCACCCCAGTACACATACACGTACAGCTATGATATGAGTAAATCTGGTGCTCATTACTGCAGCACTGCCCTTATCAAAGCGCCCATAAACCTAAACGAATCGTTCTGTTCCGGGCGTTTATCTGTAATGTTCACAAATTAGTGGGGATTTAGAGTCCCGGAGTCGGGAGAGGTCGGGACTAGGCGGGAAGGGCGCACGCTATGGAGTCGTAAAATCTGACAGTTCGGGAAACGCGCGGAAATGGCTGCCACGGCTGCCAGAGCTGGCGATCTCCAAGCAGAGGTCTAGAGGGGAAACTGCAAGCCAGACACCTGCATCAACCAACTAAACAATTGAGGTGTTCAAGAACTCGTATTTACCAAGAACTATCGTAGAGTGGAACTCGTTACCACCAAGCACAGTTGGGGCATCACCCCTAGAAAACTTTAAGCAACGTCTGCAACAAGTCGTTCGGTGTGATCATGGAGGTAAAAAGAGACCTCCATGGTGTGATATAGCTAGCTGCCGCCGCGCCGCGTGCCTGCGAAGCTGGTGTGTTTCGCCGAAGGTCGGGAATAGGCCGGGAGGGCGCACGCTATGGAGTCGTAAAATCTGACAGTTCGGGAAAGGCGCGGAAACGGCTGCCAAAGCGCTCTCCAAGAGGATGTTAGGAGCTAAAATCATAACGTTTTCTGTCAGAGCCGTTTTCATAACGCAGAGGCTTGACAGTAAATTTTATGGATTGAAAATGTTACAGATAAAAATATGTTAGAACCTCCCTTAATTTCTGCTTTGAAAATAACGTACATAGCGTCCTAAATTTGTTTGGTGTGTGTGGAAACGGGCAGCGCATCTGATGACTATAAACCATTGAAAGAAAACTGATGATTCCTTTTGATTTTCTTTCCTGATTTGAGATATGTTATGCGTCTTTACCCTGGCCTGCTGATGTCATCTCTTCGCAAACCGGAGCCTTTCGTTGCTCCCTCTAAGACAAACTTTAAGCGCTGTGTTTTCGGTCTTATCTTCATCCAAACCAAGACCAGGGCCTCTTTACACCCTAGTCTGCTCAAAAGTTGATAAAAACCATTCTCCGCCTCGCGTTCCTGCCCTGATTGTTGGCGACACCTAAAAGGCGGCGTGCTCCGATAAATCACCCCGATAATTGCGGGAATTATCCCCCTCCTCCCCTCCCGTGTGTAGGAGCACGTCTGCCGGCGACCCCGGCTCCGGGAGGCGCGCTCAAATAATATCCAGGCAGCGCCGCGGCTCCGACACGTCCTCTTGCGTCGTCTTGTACGTCCTTCTAGTGAAGCGGTTTTAGCGTGCTCCTCTAGCCACGTTAGAAAGGTGCCCCCTTTCCAAAAAAACAAAGCGCCATAAGCAGATACAGACCACAACGAAGTGATGTGAAATGGCCACAATAAAACGCTCAAAACGCCACAATTATTAGGCGTGCGAGCGCCACAAAACGACGTACAAAACGCTTCAAAACGGCGTGCAAAACGCTTCAAAACGACGTACAAAACGCTTCAAAACGACGTACAAAACGCTTCAAAACGAACTGCAAAACGCTTCAACGCGACGTGCAAAACGCCACAAAGAGAAGTGCAAAACGCTACGAAACGACGCTTAAAACCTGCAACAAAAGATCTCGTTACAAAAGACGCTCAAAAAGAAACAGGAAACAGGCATCTTCCTCGGGAGATTACTGAGATTACTTTTCGTCTTTTGAAGTTCTGTTTCGTGTCAGCGCTCTGCCAAGTAGGCGAGCGGCCAATGTCCTTATGATGTAATGTCTTGGCTTCCTTTTTGGCAGAGTAAGCTGGTTTTACGTTGTTGGATTCCGTCCAGAGATGATTATTCACTTTTTTCCCGAGCAGAAGTCACACATGGTTCTCATCACAGAGCAGTTTAGAACATTCGGGTTCAGGTTAGACACCTGCCTTTCAGGCTTACATCATCATGTATGGAAACATGGAGATACCGAGGCAGGAAGTTATTGTACATCGTCATAATAGTTATTCTAGCCTGGTCACCAAACCTATTTTAGCTCCCCAGTCCTACATCCTCTCCGCCAATATTCGGGAGCTAAAATATGTTTGTTAACCAGGCTTAAGTTATTCTACATCGTGACATCTTTTCGTGTCACATGCACATCCACAAGAGGAGTAGACCTAGCCTCTACCAGGCTTCAGAAGCGGCTGGAGAGAGTAGAATCTGACCAAATAGACTGATGGCCCATTATTAGCGTACCAGATGAGTTTTCCAAGAGGCAAGCTGTATTCCTTTAGCGGACCATGGTATGTTCATCTGTCTATTTAGCCAATAGAAGCTGCTGACAAGCAATATATACATCCATCATATACATTATAATACATTTTTATACCATGCAAACCTTCTGACTTCCTACAGATCGCCAGTACCACTCTGCAAAGTGTAACCTCCTTTCGTGATATCACGTGATATACGTATTAATTATCTACAAGGACATTATACAGAAGATGTCCTTGTTACCTGCAACAAAACAGCGTGTTTCTCATCTCTACTCTTCCTCGTCGGTTCCAATTCTCTTTCTTCTCGTTCAAAGCGTTTTTCGCGGTTTGAATTATAACGACGTTTATGTACCATAGTTGCCGCGCGCGCTTCCCGCAGACTCCGTACAGGGGAAGATCTGAGGCCGCGGTAACCCGTCCCGAGTGTTCTGGGGCAGCCCGGGCCGCGCCTTGACCCTTCGGCAGGGTCCTTCCCGGTGTGA